CTCAGAGATGGTTTTCCTTCTGGGTGCGGCCTCTCAGGCTCCCCAGAGCGCGCTCAGAGTGCCCCAAGAGGCCCCCAAGACTGCCCAAGAGGCCCCCGAGACGCCCAAAGAGCGCTCGAAGACGCCGAAGATGACCCCAAGACGGCCCAAAAGGCCCCCAAGACAGCCCAAGAGGCCTCCAAGACGCCCCAAGAGCCTTCCAAGAGGCCTCCGAAGAGAGCCCCAAGAGGCCAAAATCGTTGATTTTCATTGGTTTTTCTATGTTTTTTGTGTTCTGGCTTTTTCGGCTTCCGGACGCTCCAAGACGGCCCAAGAGGCCCCCAAGACCGCTCCAAGACGGCCCACGAAGCTCCCAAGACGGCGCCGAAACGACCCAAGAGAGCCCTCAAGACGGCCCAAGTGCCGCCCAAGACGGACCAAGAGGCCCCAAGACGGGCCCAAGAGGGACTCAGGAGGGATACCGAGAACTCAAAAATGGAGCCCTCCGTCCCAGAAGGCGCCCAGGAGGTCCCAAAGAGGCCCCAAGAGGCCTCCAAGAGGCCCCAAGATGTCGCCAAGAGGCCCCAGGAGACTCCCAGGAGGCCCAAAAGAAGCCCCAGAAGGCTTCAAACATGTCTCCCAGGCGCCCCCGAACGGCCTCTCAACAGACCCCAAGAGGCCCCCCAAAGAAGCATCTTGACGACGACTCTATTTCGCCCCATCGAGAGACGACCCCCAGGGAACTGCTTCACCATCAAAACTCCCCACGCAACGCGTCCGAACGACACCCGCCCCCAAGAGCGCAACATGGGCAACGAACACACAGACAAAAACCAGCGATGCCATATCACGGGCCGGCGGAATGAGCGAAGCGATTCAATAAGAGGTAGTAGTACGGCATCTCATGTGGGCTGAGATGTCTCAGGCGAAACGCATTTTTTTCCGTATGGATTTTGCGGCGATCAATGTTTCGAGGATGTCTCGAGCGAAACGCTTGTGTTTGTTTAGCGCGATGTCGCGAATATCTCGTTTTTTTGTGGGGATGTCTCAGACGAAATCGCCGTTGTGGGGGATCGGCTAACGAATGGCGCCGTGCACCCTGGCACCCTCTATTAGTAAGAGATAGTTAGATATGTTGCAGATTCAGCCACAACGTCCAGCTCGCTTCTCGTACCTCGAATACGCTTCCCGTCATTCGCCAACGCCTGTTCCAAGTGCAACCCGGAGCCCCACAGAACAATTTCTTTGAACAAAACGGTCCACGCTCCTCGTACCTCGTACGCGCTTCCCGTCATTCGCCAACGCCTGTTCCAAATGCAACTCGGAGCCCAACATAACAATTCCTTTGAACAAAACGGTCCACGCTCCTCGTACCTCGTACGCGCTTCCCGTCAGCGGGACCAAAACCGGACCGGAGCAGTCCCTCCATGCGCGTGGCCGGGGTGTCCTAGAGAACCTTGCTGCCTAATTGGCTGCTAAAAGCTTGACAATCGTTGCTTGCGCGATCGTACAAGGGGACTGCTTCACATAGGAGAAAGAAACAAAGGAGGAGGACGAGGAGAAGGAGCAGGAGGAGGAACATGAGGCGGAAGATACATCCACTCGCCTCTCACAGGCCAGGAATTTGACCTCCCGCCCGGGCCCGGCACGCCCCAGCCCGAGCGCGCCATGGGGGCATAGAAGACCCCAGAACGGGCCAAGACGGCCCCAAGAGGCCTCCAAGCTAAGAGAGCCCCGAGCCGCCCAAAGATCCTGCAAACCCGACAAAACGTGCTCCCAAACGGCCCAACATGCCCCGATGGTGCTCCAAGAGGCCTCCAACAAGTTCCTCAACGGGAGCCCCAAGAGGGAAACATCGCCCCATTCCCTTGAAGGAACGTGCAATTTAGCACCAGGGTGAGGGGGCCGTACGGTCATTCACTGTCCCTGGGCGCGTGGCTGAAGTGAGGTTCTTTGGTGCGGATTGTTGTTGTTGTTGTTGAATCCACGATTCTGAGAAACAGTTATTGCTTCCCCTCCAGGGCAAATTGTATGCTTCTATTGAAATGCTCCTCCCAAGTCTCGCACCCGAATTTTTATAACGGAGAGCGAGGGGTCACCAAAGTGGGCCCCTGGCCCTCGAGTCGCAACAAGAACGCATCCCGCCTGATACGTCCTCACAACGTATTCCAAAATCGCGTTCTCGCGCAAGACGGCTTCGCAATCAATATAGAAATCGCGTTCTCGCGTGGCCGGGTATCGAGGGTTTCGGATACACGTAATGACAATGGCACGCACGCAGATAAGGGCGAACAGTATGAAAATGATTGGTCTCGTTGTTGGTGGTGTTGCTATTGTGTTTGCTGATGTTGTTACTGTTGTTATGGATGCTGTTGGTGCTGGGCTGTTGTTGGTGTTGGTGTTGGTGTTGGTGGTGTTGTTGTTGTTGTTGTTGTTGTTGTCGGTGTTGGTGTTGTTGTTGCTGCTGTTGTTGATGTTGTTTGTTGTTGCTGTTGTTGTTGCTGTTGTTGTTGGTTGTCGTCGTCACCCCCGCGACCCCGCCCGCGACCCACCCGCGACCCACCCGCGACCCCGCCCGCGACCCACCTGCGACCCAACCCGCGACCCACCCCGCGAGCCACCCGCGACCCACCCCGCGACTGGCCCGCGACCCACCCGCGACCCACCTGCGACCCACCAGTTACCCGGCCCGCGACACACCCGCGACCCACCCGCGACACACCCGCGACCCAGCCCTCGACCCACCCACATTGCTTGAACGAAACAATCAGCACCTGCGGCGGGCTTTTTCAGAGCCTCGGAGACTGCCGACGCCCTTGCCGCCCCCGCACTCTTATCCACAATTGCGCGGTGCTACGTTTTCGCCGCTTCGGCTTCCGCAACGTCGAAGACGGCCCAAGGCGCCCCCGAAGCCGCCCCAAGACGGCCCAAAAGGCTCCCAAGAGGGCTCCAAGACAGCCAAAGACGGCACCAAGACGGCCCATGAGGTCTCCAAGACGGCTACGTAAAGACGGCCCCACGACGGCCCCAAGAGGGGGCCCAGAGGGGGAACCCGAACGGACACTCCCATCCTGCAGCCCTGAGAAACCCCAAGAAGTCCCCCACAGGCCCCAGAATGCCCCCAAGACGCCCCAAAGAGGCCCCCAGAGGCCCCGAAGAGGCCCCAAAACTGACTCCAAGAGGCCCCCGAGAAGCCTCCCACGAGATCCCATCAGCCACCCGAGTGGTCTCTCACCCACAGCCCACGCACGGTGGCGAATGGGCCGAAGGCCAGTCGATATTTGACGATATGGGCTCCTGACCACGGTCTCTTCCTTCTCAACCTCCCCTTTCTCCTTCTCCTCCTCCTCCTCCTCTTCCTGTTCCTCCTCATCCTCCTCCTGATGATCCTCCTTCTCCCACGTCCTCCTCCTCCTCCTCCTCCTTCTCCTTTTCCTCCTCCCTTTCAGCATTATCATTGTCGTAGTCCACTTCCTCCCCTCCGTCTCCCCACCCAGTCCCCCTCCCACGGAACTCGGCACTTGCAACGCCACTGCCGAGGCGGACGACTCGCGAGGGCTCCAGGACAAACCCACGACGGTCCAAGACGGCGACGAGTCGCTGGGATTCGCCGGCCCACCGAGCCAGGGCGTGCTAAGATCTCCGGTAACAGGTAAACAGTATTTCTAGTTCGCGCGCGCGGGGCGGCCCCTAGGAGTCCCCGGGCGAAAAGTACCCCGGCAAGTCCCCGGGAGGGTGGGGGCCAGAGATGCCGGACTTCCTGGGTGCGGCCCTGGAGGCCTCTGGAGCGCTCCAGGAGCGCTCCAAGGAGACGCCAAATATGTGGCAGGCCCAGCAGCCTGAAGCCAAGAGCGCCCCAAGACGGCCTCAAGACGGCCCAAGATGCTCCCAAGACGCCCCAAGATGCGTCCAAGAGACCTCCCAAGAGGCCCCCAAGAAGCCCAAATTTATGATTTTCATTGCTTTTTTGAGGATTTTGGCTTTCTCGCCTCTTCGGCTTCCTAGCGCTCCAAGACGGCCCAAAAAGCCCTCAATATCGCCCCCATACGGCGGGCCCTAAGAGACCCCCAGAAACCTCCAAGATGGCCCAAGATGCCCCCAAGACGGCTGCAAGACCAGGCCCCGACGGGGTAACGGAACGGACTTTCGCGCTCTAAGCCGCAAGACGTCCACAGGAGACCTCATAACGCGCCCAAGAGGCCTCAAGACGGCCCAAGATGCTCCCACCCTGGAACCTCCAGAAAGCGGGGCTCCATTGGCGGACCGCGCCAAACCACCATCCGCGAGCCCCATGAGAGCAGACGATGGCGCCACAGACCACTGACAGCCGCAAACGTCGAACCAACTACACCGGACTGGTGCACCCACCACCGAAAACAACGTCCCCCCCCCATCAGCGCAGCATGGCTCACGGACGCGCAGCCAAACCCCAGCGATTACGCATTATGGGCTGGCGGAATGAGCGAAGCGATTAAATAACGCTCTAAGATGCCAGCGATGGCCACCAGACGGCCTACAACGCCTCCCAACAGGTGTTTAACCATAGCGCCCCAAAGGAGCACACCGTCCAACTCCGTATGAGCACGTACACGTTTACCACATATGCCTCTTCAGCCTTCCCGGCGTTCTACACTCTATACTGGAAAAAGGGCTTCGACGACCACCCAAAAGGCCCCCAAGGGAGGATCCCCAAGACGGCCCAAGAGTGTCCCAAGATGGACCAAGAGCCGCCCGAGAGGGCCCCAAGACGGTCCAAGAAAGCCCCGAAACCCTGCAAGATCGTTCCAAGACGCCCAAGACGGCCTCCGGGCGGCCCAAAGCCCCCAAGACACCCAAAATCCAGCCTCTCGCTTTCACCTACATCACAATCACCACGAGCGCCTCCCCAAAACCAGAGGAACAATCTACACTTAGGGGGGTCAGCGGATGTTGCGCATCCCTGTAGAATCATAGCATTCTCAGTGCGCGCTGAAGCCAGGCTTGTAGGTCCTTGGAAAATCAGTCACTCTAACAACCCTACGTCATGATAACAAGGACATCAATGCAGTTGCAAACAAGGGTACTGAGTACAGACAACTGGCACGCAGAGACACTGTGCTGGACTTCGCCGGCTTCGTTGTGGTAGTGGTAGCCGTAGTTGGGCATGCTTTCACGTTGCACTTCTTCGTCTCGAACATCTTTCCTACGCAATTCTTGCCGCCGTTCTGCGGGTCGACCTTGAAACCACGAGATCGGACCTGAGTGCCAGGATCCGTAGTGCCGCACGACTTGGTGCAGTCGGAATAAGCTGCCCACGTTTCCCAAACACAGTCAACCGGCTTGGGCGTGTCGCCCTTTTCTCCCTTGTCTCCTTTCGGTCCAAGGCGCCCAGCCCTCCCCGTAGCTCCAGTGGCCCCCTTGGCTCCGGGGGCCCCCCTGGCTCCTGTAGCCCCCTTGGCTCCGGGGGCCCCTTTGGCTCCTGGAACTCCTTTGGCTCCCGTAGCCCCTCTGGGCCCTGGGACGCCGCGACCACCACTGCGCCCATTCCAACCGCGAGCTCCCCTGGCTCCCGTGCGGCCTGGAGGGCCCCTGGGACCACGGGCGCCGGGCGACCCTCTGGCCCCAGTGGCCCCTTTGGCGCCGGGCGATCCCCTGGCCCCAGTGGCGCCTCGAGCGCCACGGGCGCCTTTTGGGCCGGGCACTGCCGGGGTGCAGCCGTCCCAATCGGCCCTCATGCTGATGTGGTTGTGCCAGGTCTGCACGTAGATTCGGATCCAGCGCGCAAGAATCGGTGGGTTCAGCGTGTTCACCCTGCACCAGCGCCAGTGACCACCGTTCAGGGTGTGCGGGTACCACTTCCAGTTGTGCTTGCTGGACTTGTACAGTATCTTGTACGATTTGACCCACTGGTGAGAATTGTGCCTTCCCATATTCAAGGACCTCGTGACAATCTTGTCAGCTCCAAAGTCCCATTGGACCCACTGGTTCCTGTGATTGTGGTGGGCACACCATGTCGTTCCATAGTTGTTGAGACGGGTACGCCACATCTGTCCCCTACCATGATCGCCTCTATTGTGCCAATAACTCGAAGCTACGATGTTGCCATCTGGTATTACCTTGTGCTTAGTGTGTCTTGGAAACGCCCTGGGCGTTTCTTTATAGGATCCAGCTCTTATGTCTTGTGAGCCAACAGCGGGTACCTGGAAAATATATAAAAAAACAAAAAAAAGCCCTGGAAACTATCAACAAAAACGTTTCCGCGCGATCAATTGGAAACAATATTAAACCGAGTCGGCGCAAGCTGGAACGATATGGAAACGGCCCCCTGGAAACTAGGAAACAAAAACGAGTTGGTGAACAAGCGACACAAAACGAGAGTGCCGATGATAATGACAACGGGGCGGGCGGCGCAGCGGGCATCAGCAGCAGCGAGCAGTAGCAGCAGGCAGTAGCAACATGCAGTAGCAGCACCAGACAACGTAGGAGGAAGGTGGCGGCTGCAGCGGGCAGAAGGTTCAGCAGAGAAGCTGTTTGGAGAGAGTGTCGAGCTCGTATCGTGCGTTACCTGTCAATCACTATCCGATCCACCGGAATGGGGGGTGTGAAGCGCATTGAAAGCGTATTGGCGATGTTTTGGAAACGGTTTCGACCAGGCAACTGCGACCCTGTGCACAGGGAGAGCGGAAGCATGGAGGACGTCGCCGACGCCGCTCGCCGTTACGACGCCGACGCCGCCGTCATGGCAGCGGCGATGTCTCCGGCTCTGACGTGCACGGGATCGGACAACGATTGAAAGGCAACGCACGAAAAGGGCTCGGAGAAGCCTTCTGGAGAGAGCGCGTCGAGCTCTTCTCGTGCGTTGCCCGTCAATGCTGGATAACCCACAGCACGTTGCAAGGCACAACTGGCAACGATGAAACAACGAAGCTGGCAACTATTAAAAAAACGACCCCTCGGATCGACGTTGGAAACGACAAACAAACGCATCGTCGCGGGGACCTGGAAACGACAAAAAGGAAGCCAGAAATTATTGAAAAACGTGTTTTCCAATGAAAGCTGGAAGCTGTATAACAAACGATCAGTGCGTTTCCAAGACGCACTAAGACCTTGTGGTTCGTATTGCCAGATAAGCGCCAGGTGCTGCTACAACTGAGTCCCGAGGCCTCGTAATCCGTAGCGCTGTCCTCCAGCAGGCTTTGATTGGGGAATGGCGGGAGCTCGAAGTCATCGTAGATACCAGGCGGCAAGTCATCGTTGAGATCAATCAGCCCCTCCTCGCCCCACGAAGCATTGTCACCAAGCTCAAAATCCTCATCGGAACCTACGACATCTGAATAAGAGACCTGCCCATGAGCGTCAACGAGAGCAGTCATCTGGTCCTTGTTGGAATCGGCACCCACATCATTGATCACATGTGCTCTCCGCATCAGCCGTCCAGTTTGAGTGCTGCGGCCTGGGTCCATCGCATCCGTCTGCTTGCCGACTGCTGCGCCATTGGCGGGGCTCCCGCCGTTGACTGCCGCATACAGCAAGAGGAGCGAACCGAATACTTTCATGAATGTTTCTTGTAGGACCAACGAATGCTGATCAACACCGTTTGGATGGTAACTAGCTGGAACCGAAGCAGGTTGAGCTATCGCCTTGAGCCACAAGAGGCGGAGGAGGAAGATCAGGCAGGGTGATCACGGGGTGGCGACAACGAAGATCGAATCTGATTTAGAAAAGTGGCTCACGCTGGGTGCGCCCGCGCCGCACCTAACATCCGAACACCTCCTTCCCATCCCTTCACGTTGAATGTTATCCTATTCTACCGACCGGCTGGGGTGTCCTAGAGGACCTTGCTGCCTAGATGGCTGCCAAAACATGGCACGTCGTTGGTTTCGAGATCGGAGAAGGGGGCCGTTGCAAATAGGAGGAATAGGAGGAACGCGAGGAGGAGACTGAGGCGGAAGAGGAATATCAGGCAGGGTGATCACGGGGTGGCAACAACGAAGATCAAATCTGATTTAGAAAAGTGGCCCACGCTGGGTGCGCCCGCGCCGGACCTAACATCCGAACCCCTCGTTCCCATCCCTTCACGTTGAATGTTATCCTATTCTACAGACCGGCTGGGGTGTCCTAGAGGACCTTGCTGCCTAGATGGCTGCCAAAACATGGCACGTCGTTGGTTTCGAGATCGGACAAGGGGGCCGTTGCAAATAGGAGGAATAGGAGGAACGCGAGGAGGAGACTGAGGCGGAAGAGGAAAATCAGGCAGGATGATAACGGGGCGGCTACAACGAGGAACGAATTGGTGGTCCACGTTGGGGCGAGAGGTCACGTCTGAACGACGGGATCGAAGCACCGACACACAAACGTACCCAACACTACAGCGGGAACACCATACCATGTCTGAAGGAGCGAGACACACCGATCGTACCATACAAGTGTTGGAGCTTATCTTTGAGGAGAAGACACGTGATAACGAAAGAGGCGGAATCGAACACGGGCATTGGTGAGCAAGAGAAAGGGGATAGCATGAACTCCTTAGCCGTTTTGCGCACGGCGGGAGGCCACACGATAACACTCAGATGCATCGCAGGTGCTTGACAACCTGAGGGTGCTGCTTCAGCTTCGTGTGCCTTCTTCGAGCGCGGGTTTGGCATGATGTTTTTTCGCGCGTCAGTCAGGGCAAGTTTGAAAGAGGCTCAAGGGAGGTGCGGTGCCCCGTGCGCAAGCCACATTGTCACGCGCATTGCAAGTTCACCGAGACATTGTTTTATAAAGCTGTTTTACAAATGGTACCGGAGAACAAACCCAATCAGATGTGTTGTTGGGGCTATGGGGCTATAGGACTACAGGGCTATAGGGCTATGGAGCTACAGGGGTATATAGGCTATATGGCTATAGGGGTATATAGGGCTAATGGGCTATTGGGCTATAGGGGCTATAGGACTACAGGGCTATAGGGCTATTGGGCTATTGAGCTATTGAACTATAGAGCTATAAGGCTATAGGGCTGTAGGGTACCCAGGCACCCCCGGGCACCTGTGGGCACCCCCGAGCACCCGGGCACCCACAGGCACCCGGGCACCCAGGCACCCTGCCACCGGCCACCGAAATCCTGGGGCACCGGGCACCCACGGGCACCCGGGCACCCACGGGCACCAGCCACCAAATCGGCGCCCCACCTCACCTAACCATATGAATCCGCTAGGACCCCTACAGAGGCAAGCTCTGATTGGGGAACTTGTCGATGCGATGTTGCTTCTGTTCGGGATCCGTCTTGACGTGTGGCCACACTGGCGAAATCTTGTGGCCTGAATTCGTTACACATCTGCATCGAAGACGGATGGCTGCAAGTAACATGTAAGTCGCACCCCTGTACATTTGCAAACTTCTCGGCGTAACTTTTCAATTGCACGCACTTGGCGTGTAGCGCTCCTTGTCCTTGCCCACGCGGTTTTAGCGTATGGCTGCTTCGATGCCGATGTCGCTGCCGAGTCCTGAATCGGCAACCGCAACCGCAACTAGACGCTACATTTCAAGCCACCCGCGGGCGCAACCGCAACCACAACCGCAACCGCTACTAGCCAGCACATTTCAACCCGCCCGCGGGCGCAACCGCAACCGCAACTGCGCGACACATTTCAACCAACCCGCGGGCGCAACCGCAACAGCAACTGGGCGACACTGTTCAAGTGGCCTACGCGCGCAACCACAACCGCAACTAAACGACACACTTCAACCTGCCCGCGGGCGCAACCGCAATCACCACTGGGCGCGACACACTCCAACCCGCACGCGGGCGCAACCGCAGTCGGCGAGCGCAACCAGGCAACACATCTCAGCCCGTCCGCGGGCGCAGCAGCGATCGCATCTAGGCGCGCCGCCTGCCCCACCCTGGCTGCCGCTCTCCGCTGCGGCGCCGCGGCGCGGACTCGATCCGATCGAGCGGCGCGCCAACGGGCAAGAGCGACTCCGCGCTGCACCGCCGCCCGGCGGCGGCCGCGCCACTCCGCCGCCGTGGGTCGACCGCGTCGAGGGCACGAGCGCGCCGCGCTGCGCGCGCGCCGAGCTCGCCAGCGCAGGGGCCGCCGCGAGCGCGCAAGCAGCCTCCGAGAAAGGTCAAGTCGGGCCTGTCCCCCCGGCAGGGGGACTCTCGACAAACAATAGAAAATAGTCAAAACATGATCCCAGTGCGACCCTACCTAGGAGTTGGACCATTCAGGACAGCAACATCTACATCTACACCGACAGCTACATTTACATCTACACCTGCATCTACAGCTACATCTACAAGAGCTGCAGGCTGTTCAGCACTGCAGGTCGGGTTTTGCGTTGCTTGTGCTTTGCTTTGTTGTTGCTGATGTTACTTTGCCTTTGCTTTGCTGCTATGTTATGCTATGCTATGCTATGATATGCTGCGCTATGCTATGCTATGCTATGCTATACTATGCTGTGCTATGCTGCGCTATGCTGCGCTGTGCTATACTATGCTATGCTAGGGCACGCTCGGCTGCGCTGTGTTATGCTATGCTATGATATGATATGATATGATGCGCTATGCTATATTATGATATGATATGTTGCGCTATGCTATGCTATGATATGCTATGATGCGCTATGATATGATGTGCCAGGCTATGATATTATATGATATGCTGCATTATGTTATGATATGCTATTATATTATATGATATGATATGATATGATATGCTGCGCTATGCTATGCTATACTACGCTATGCTATGCTATAACATGTTATGCCATGATGTGATGTGCTGTGCTATGCTATGCTGCGCTGTGCTATGCTAAGCGATGATCTACTATGATATGGCATGCTATGCTTTGCTATGCTATGTTATGCTGAGCTATGCTATGCTATGCTATGCATGACTATGATATGCTGTGCTGATGCTGCGCTGCGCTATGTTGCGCGGTGCTGGGCTAAGCTAAGCTAAGCCAAGCTAAGCTAAGCTAAGCTAAGCCAAGCTAATATGAGATATGCTAAGCTAAGCTAAGCTAAGCTAAGCTAAGCTAGGCGAGGCAGCTAAGCTAAGCTAAGCTAATATGAGATAAGCTAAGCTAAGCTAATCTAAGCTAAGCTAAGCTGGGTGAACCCAGGGGGCGCAACTGGGGGAACCGCGGGGCGGATACTGGGGGAACCGCCCGGGGCGGTGTGCACTGCCCGGCCCCTTTACGAGAGAGAGAGAGAGTATGAACCCTCTAGGCAGAGCCTAGGTAGGGAATAATAAAAAAATTGTCCAGGGACTATTTTTGCGTACTTTCATACCTTTTTGGGGTATTTCTGGGGCATGTTTTTTTTCCCGTCGAATATCCCCCTGTAGGGGGACACGCCCGACATAAGAGAAAGGCGACGCGGCGCAGATCCAGAAAAATGGGCCCCCTCTGGCGGCAAGTCCACAAGAAGCTGACCGCGCGCGCGGGCGGGGCGCGCCAGCAGGCGCGCGAGCCCACAAGCGCCCTCGGCGCGTCGCCGGGATGCAGCGGCGCCAACTTTCCGCCGCGCCAGCTCCGCACGCGCGCGGGCGCCGTCGAGCGCCGCGGAATGAAACGCGTCGGCAATCTTTGCGCCAGAGCGCGCCGCCAGCGCTGCCCCCGAAGGCGCGCGCCGCCGAAGCGCGTGGCGAAAGAGCACCTGCGCGAAACCACCTGGCGCGAACTTCTTGCCGCCGCCCGCTCGCGCGCGCGACGGCGCGGAGAATGCCGCGCTGCGCGAAGCGCGGTTTCTCCAATGGCACCCGCGCCGGCGCTCGACGACGGCGGGGGCCTCCCGAACGGCGGGGCGCCGGAGGAGGAGGAGGAGGAGGAGGAGGAGGAGGAGGAGGAGGAGGAGGAGGAGGAGGAGGAGGAGGGAGGAGGAGGTTCGGCGCTGCGCGCGCCGATTCGACGCTGCGCGCGCCGATTCGACCAGCGCAAGGCAGCGGGACGCCGCGCGTGCGTTGCTGGAACGTCTGGCCGAGGCCAGCAAGCTGATGGGCTTTGCTCTCCACCGCCACCACCAGAAGTTGGAGTGGGAGGGGGTCCTCCTCCTCCTCCTCCTCCTCCTCCTCCTCCTCCTCCTCCTCCTCCTCCTGGTGGCACTGCCGATGTAGGCTTGGTGCAGCTTACATCACTAGTGCCACAGTCCTGAGAACCTCGTGACAGTCTGCCCACAAATCAAACATGGACGGTTTGGTCCAGGCCCGCCATAGTCTCCGTGATCCTCGGACGACTGCCATACTATCACGGTGCACCCTGATGTAACCAACAGATACCTTCGCCAACTAAGGCGGGGGGGTAGCACAGACAAAAAACTCAAACTTCCATGCTCGAACTTAGACGATTGGCCTCCATCCTCGATCCTTGAGCCTCGATGGAGCAGGAAGCGCCGGCGAGGGGTGGGGCCGCCAGAAGGGCCGCGAGGGGGCAAGCACGGGAGGGGGCGTGAAAGAGGGGGTCGTCCAGGAGAGGGCTGCAAATCCAAGAGGGGGGTCGCCACCAGGGGACGCATGCACTCAAGAAGAGGGGGCCATGGAATCTGGGGGGATGTCGTAGCCTCGACTAGGTATCC